CAGGATTTCCTTGGGAACGGAACGGATTGCACTGGCTTCTGGTGGGTTGCGGATTCTGATTACCTTTGTACGGTGGTGGATTCAGATCGCCTTTGGAAATGGATGGGTCGCACTCCATGGCCTCTAGCGTCAAGTACCGCTGAGTTAGTAAGGAGTCGATTTCCGTCCATGGAGACACCTCCTTCTTGTCAGTGACTGACGCTTCCCACAAAGCCCGGGTAGATTTAGGCAATTTGGAGGCACAGATAGTCACGAGGAGACTATCCCAATTGTCGGTGCAGACCTTGGCGGGAGCAATGGCGGTGAGGACCCCTTGTATCGTGCTTTGCAGCTCTTTCAAAGCCCGACTGGTTTCGGACTCGACGCGAGGCAAAAAGAGTAAGATATTTATCTGGTTGGTTATCAGGAGCCGATTATTTTCATAACGGTTTCGGAGGGTTGGTGAGCGGGGACTTTTCGACTATGGACTTAGGATCGCCACTTGTCTTAGCGGTGAGATGGTAAACCGAATTGGTCCTTGCAGCAGGGCTACTACTGGCTTGTCTTGGAGTGGGTGGCTTGATGTTTTCAGCCGACATAGTTCTGGAGATAGAAGAGATGCGTAGTCGACTTGTCGAAGTCACAGGCAATGACTTTTGCTGCCCTTGTGTCCTGTTGGCATACTACGTACTCACACACGCAGGATTTGGATGCGAAGTCGGATGCGGAATCCGCGGATTGTCGAAAGAAAAAACTTAGGCTGTGCTGGGCACTGGGTGAATGGAAGAAAAAAGGCCTCGCGCGTTGCTGGACACCAATTTTTATTACCGACTCGGATTATTTGTGGTCGCTCTTGATCGAGGTTCCCAAGCAATGAGTGGATCAAACTGATACACGCCGAGGAGAGGAACGTTCACACTGGCTGTGGCAATATTTAAAAAATATTGTTAGTGCGGCGCTCCTCCGTTTACCTTTTGACGGACTTGTGCAGTGGGTAAATTTTCTTTTTTATCTAGTGCGGATGGATTGCAGACGGAATTTCTCTATTTCTTGCTCTCTTATTATGCCGTGGAGATAGTAGAGCCGATAGGATGCACGAGCACGAGGCTTGGAGCCAAGAAATTAACTGCTACTGGTGTGGTGGAGACTATCGGAACGAGTATGAAATAGAAACAATGATTCCTTACCCAGTCGTTTTTTCATCGATGCGGAACAGACGTAGGACTTTGTATTTTTTGACAGTTCGCGGCTTGTATTTATTTATTGTCTTGTATATGGTGTTCGATTAGTAATTTTAAGTGTTCGGGCACTTTTATATCTTGTATTGGCATTCGTGACAGCTTAGTCGGTGATACCGATAGTTTTTAAATTTGTCACCTCTAGTTTCTCTTTGTCCCACGGATACACAATTTGAAGATTTTCACGGGAAAATGCGAACTAGCTGCGGAAATGCGCTGTGCCTGGGTTGAGTATAATTTATTGCGTATTTGGAGATAATATTCTTTAGTGTGGCGACTAATGAGGACTAGTGAGGAGTATTTAAAAATTTTGCAAGCCCATCTTCCCAATTTTCTTGACAAATGTGCCTATTCCGAAGCAGAAATTACTTTTCAACAAGATGGGGATCCGAAGCACACAGCGAAAATTGTTCGGGAATGGCTATGGAATCAAAGCTTTAAGTTGATGGAGTGGCCAGCTCAAAGTCCCGACCTCAATCCGATTGAAAACCTATGGTCAATCGTGAAACGACGGCTTGGGCAGTACGAATCAGCCCGAATCTAACTTGGGCGACCTCTGGGGCCGTGTACAGATGGAATGGAATCGTATTCCGAAAGACATCATTGAGAACTTGGTAGAGAGTATGCCAAAGCGTATTAATAATGTCATTTCTAATAAGGGTCTATGGACAAAATATTAAGTTTAAGTGATTTTCTTAGATTTTTGTAAAAAGTTCAAAACTGAGTACATGCGAGTTGTTTTGGTTTTCTATTTTTCTCTCAATGAAAGCTTCCCATCTGTTTTTGTTGTTATTACCTATTTTCTAAGAATAAAGTAATTGATATATAAAAAATATTTGGTTTGCTTTGCTGTATGCGTTTAGCTGTAATGGGCGACGAAAGTCGGTGATACTGAGTATGTACTCATTCAGACCTCAACCCAATTTACTATGCCAATTGTATTTTTATTGGGGTGGGTCGTGTATTTTGGAATGTGTATGTAGGTATGTTCGTCTATTTTTTACGGAAGCCGCTGTAATGGGCTGGAATGTATGTACATATGCTCGGAATGCAATTGTAGTTAGTGAGGCTGGATTATGGTGATTTATTTTGTTAATTCACAGTGGAGAAATCGGATGCACAGACAAATGAAATTAGAGAAATACCGTAGCACTGGTAGTTGGAGTCGAAGTAGCGAGAAAAGCCGGAATCGCCGATAATATGGCGTTGGCGAAAAGGAACACGACACAGAAACTGTATAGCACTGGATGAACATATATGTATATAAGAATATACATATATACATGTATCGCCGAACTCGGACTTCGCGGGGAATAAAACAAAACGCACTAGGAATCGATTTGGGAACACGCAATCGTACTTATCTTCGGAATGTAATCCACCGATGCTTGCTGATTGGACTCCTCCTTATAGGGAAGGCGAAGATCCGGCTCGAAAGACCAATGATTGTAGGAGGGTGGATGTTGGAGGTTCCCAAAGACCGTATTCCCAAATAAAAGTAGTCGGGGGCGTCAATTACATGTTTGCGTATATTTGCGGGTAATTGATACAGCTGGGGGATGATGGGCGCTTGTAATCGGTTCGTAGTTGAAGAGAGACTCCCCCTATGTATTTTGGGCAGCATAATGCTAGCGCCAGTGCTGGAGAGTCGCGTGGATCGTGACTGAGCAGCGCGAGAGCAAAGGGCACGAGAGAGAGAGCGAGCTAACAGTCCGCCGTTAGCAACACTGTCAACCGACTGTTAACGCTGCTATGTTAACAGCGCTGCTGGCCTGAACAGTAATGAATTTAGAATATAATCGTTAAAATTGAATTCGATCGAGCGCACCGAGAACTTCTTTCGTCCCGCATTTTTAATAAAACTTTGGGCCACCCAAGTATTTCGGTCTTTCGCATTTAGAAAAACTATTCTAAATTGTCACCCGCAATTCCAGAAGAAGAAACGGCTACCGCAATTTCTGATCTAGCACGAACAGTGGCCAAAATCAATGAGCCACCGTTTCCATAATTATTTGCATTAATTAATGTATCATAGACTTCCATCTGTTTTGGGTTCAACAGAGATATATTCGTTTTAACTGATTGATCTAATTCATATCGATCATATTCACGTTCACTTCCAATTCTCTATTAAATGTGGCATTCATTGCTCGATCTGGTGCTGGCATTCCTAACCTGACTAACAAACTACGGCACATAGGGATAGGGTAACACAAATCGTCGATGAAGAGCAAAGCCTGGTTATGCATCTCTCCATTCGCCTCAAGGTCAGAATTTCTTAAACAGACACGAATTCGATGTAAAATGTCTTCTGACATATTATCTTTGTATATATTTTCCACAGGTCACGTGGATTAGATGGGAAGCATGTTGGAATGTTGATTGGAAATAATGTGCGGATTTAATCTGGAGATGAAGAAATAATTGCATCAGCGATTGTCGTGTCCCAATGAGTATCGTTTTCAAGCTATTTAAGCTCTTGACATGATGCACGATATGTTGGGTACACTATACCATTAACAGTTCGTAGTGAACTAAATTAAGTTAAATGTTAAATGAACTTAAATGAAGCAACAATTGCAAATAGAAACATTCATTATTCTTTGGATGAACCGTGTAAATACGACCAAGAGCATCATTAGAACGCATATCGGGATGATCAGGAACCGCTTCGCCTTGACTCCGACGCAGAAATTTCTTCGATGACACGTTCCAAGTGTAATATTGGGGCATCTCCGAGTAAAGCAACGTTCGTTCGAACGGATCGTTTTGGCAAGTTATAAAGAAACTGGTTAATGTTGTCTGTCGTTACACCATAGAATAATAGTAAATAAGTAGAAAGCAATGAAGTTATGTATGGAATGTAATGTAGTTCGTAAGGTTACGGCATGAAGTCCCGCCACTGTAAATCCAAGCAACATGCAACTACACGCCCGCAGCATAGCCGACAAGCGATGCGTGGGAATAAAGCACTCGTAAATTGAACTTCGTTTCGCACGGTTTATACTTCGATCGCCCTTTATCGCCGCCCACAGCTCTGGTCTGTACTGCTAATTCCCGCGTCTCAAGCCTAAGTAAAGGCATCAAACAAACAACAAAAATAGTTTCGAATTTTCTACATGGCGCCCGAGCAGGGACTTTGGGATTAGTTTTCGTTTTTAAATTAATCATCAATTGAAACATCGTTCGCCACTTCGTTTTTGGGTCGAACGCTGTTCTAATTTAGGTATTTGTGTGCGCTTTGACATCTAATTTTCTAGCTGGTGTCGCCGAGCTTGTCGTATGCGCGAGAGAACTGATCATCCGCTCTTATATTGCGCCACTCAATTAAACATCGTTCGCCACTTAGTTTTCGGGTCGAACGCTGTTCTAATTTGGGAGTCGAGTGCGTTGCGCGCATTAGAATTGCGTTTGCTTATTGGTTCGAACTTGGTTCGAGCTCAGTGTGTCGAGCCAAACTTGGTGTTGGTTGCGTACGCTTAGCTTAGCGTTGCGCGCATTGGAACTCCAGACGTCCGTTTCGTAGGGGATCGAACGTGGGTCGAGTTTGGTTCGCCGTGACAGAGCTCGGTTGCGTTTGTTGCGTTTTTGTCTGTTCTAACTGTTGCAGTCGTTGTCGCATCGAACCTAATACGTTTATACGTGGGTACTTGAATACTTTTGCCGTACTGTCAAACATTGTTCTCATTGAACGCAGTGCATATCCTCAGGTTATCGTCGCCTTCGCTTAGCAAGTTTGAAGTTTAGAAGTTAGAAACAGCCAACGTTGGTAATTAAATCAACATGTCTAAAGATCATGATGAAGAGAAGGCAACTGGGAGCGGAATGTGTGGAAGCACGAAGCTCACAAAATTGTATGTGAGGTTGGAGAAGATAAGCGAAGATATAAATCGAATGAGGATAGCATTTGAGGAGGGTTCAATTTCGCTGGATCCATTACAAATCCAATGTCGTTTGGAAGTATTGAACTCCTATATTGAAAAAGCAATGGCCCTGCAGTCCGAGATCGATGTACTAGACCCAGATAATTCAGATAGGGCGGCGTTGGAAGAAACGTGTGTGATCACAAAGGCTCTGTACATGTCGGCAGCGACCAACAGATCCCCTCAACCATACATGAATTCAGCACCCACACACCACCACTCCAATTTTCCAAAATTGAAGTTGCCGAAGTTCAGCGGCAAGCATGCGGATTACAAACAGTTTATTAGTCTGTTTGAAAGTTTGGTAGATTCCGACCCGTCGTTGTCCAATATAGAGAAGTTCAACCATCTCATATCGTGCTTGTCCGATGAAGCCTTGGGAACCGTTAAGGCGTTCCAAATGTCCAAAGGCGTTAGAAAGTTTGAAGAGGGTGTACGACAACAAGTGCTTAATATTCTTTGAGACACTTGCCCAGTTGTTTGACATTCCTGCCGTAACCAAGCCGTCAGCGTCTGCATTGCGATCAACTATAGATACAGTGTCAGCCATTCTGGAGACGCTTTTATCGTTAGGAGACGAGCGAGAGGTTGCTAACGCCATGATAATACATCTGGTGTTATCCAAGGTGGACCCATACACAAAAACAAAGTATGAGGAGCAGCTGAACTACGATGAGCTCCCTTGCTGGTCGGATTGTGCAAAAATGTTGAACCGCCGGTACCAACACCTTTCAGCAGAGGTGTCATCCAAAGCGAGAGGCAAACCAAAGTTTGACATGCCGTCGACCAGCAAGAAAACCAGCAGATCGTCATTTTCTTGCGCGAGGGCCGAAAAGTCGATCGACCCCAAGTGTGTATATTGCGGCGCCAACCATTCGATCGGAAACTGCCAGGGATTTGGGGCAAAACCCGTCTTGGAGCGTTTCGAGCTCGCAAAAGGCAAGCAATGCGCGGCAAAAGGCAATTATGCATTAATTGCCTCCAATCTGGACATAGGGTATCTCAGTGCACATCCTCTAAGTGCAGAGTTTGTTCACAGAGGCATCACACCCTCTTGCATAGATACGCAGCTCAGAGCGCAGATTCAGAAAGTCAGGCAATAGGAGTACAAGCATCGTCCCATCCTGCGCAGGTGAAGCAGGCATCCAGTGAGCCCGAGCATGTCATCCTTGCCACAGCAGTGGTAAGAGTTCGGGACAGATTTGGCCAAGTTCACTTAGCAAGAGTGTTGTTGGATTTGGGTTCACAGGTCAATTTCATGACAGAAAGTCTAGCTCAATCGCTAAGGTTGGCAAGGGTCAACCGTTGCCTGACAGTGACATCTGTAGGCAAGTCAAGCTCGGTGTCGAGGAGTGAAGTCTCGACGACAATATACTCCAGGTTAAATAACCATAGTTTCGTAGCAGATTTCTGGGTTCTTAGCAGCATTACCAATCAGCAGCCTGACAGAAGTCTGCCCATTAAGCAGTGGAAAATTCCTGCGAATGTGGAGTTGGCAGATCCAGCATTCCATCGACCTCAAAGGGTAGATATGCTGATTGGAGCAGACTCGTTCTTCGATCTGTTGTGCACAGGCCAAATAAAACTGGGTAAAGGGGCACCATTGTTGCAAAAGACCCTTTTAGGTTGGGTAGCTTCAGGTCGGTGTAGCAAGCTTCTGACTGGAGAAGCCGCTTGCTGCGTCGCAACCTACTCACCGGAAGAAGACTCTCTGTCTCAAATGGTCGAAAGACTGTGGGAGATAGATGCAACGCCAGAAGAAAAACATGCTCAAACAAATTCGGCAGAGCAGCTGGCATGCGAAGAGTTTTTCAAAGCCAATGTCTGCAATTTACCGACCGGAAGGTTTCAAATACCGTTGCCTTTTAAGACAGACCCAGTATCGTTGGGGTCGTCCTTCGAGGTCGCAAAACGTCGTTTCTTATCGTTAGAGCGACGAACGTTAAGAGAGAGTGAGCTGAGAGACATGTATCTCAGTTTCATGAAAGAATATATCGAGCTCGGCCATATGTCTCCGACAGACAACGCGATTCCGCCAGGACCACATTATTTTATACCACACCAGTGCGTCCTGAGGCCTGATAGCAGTTCCACCAAGCTTCGAGTCGTTTTTGACGCGTCGAGCAAGACCACAACTGGGTGGTCATTAAACGATTTACTTATGGTGGGACCTACTATTCAGAGGGAATTATTTTTATCACTCGTTCGATTTCGGGTGAATCGGTATGCTTTAACGGCAGACGTTTCGAAAATGTATAGGCAAGTGGATGTTGCCGTAAAAGACCGGAATTTCAAACTCATCGTGTGGCGAGAACATCCCACCGATCAATTGCAACATTTTCGGCTGAACACAGTTACCTATGGTACTTCCGCAGCACCTTTCCTTGCCATTCGTTGTTTGCACGAGCTCGGTGTACGCCACAGAGACACCCACAAGAAGGGTTCTGAGGTGATCTGCAGTGATTTTTATGTAGACGACATGCTGACAGGAGCCGATGACGTAGACACGCTGAAGTCGATTTGCGATCAGGTGTCTGAGATTCTTGGCTCCGGAGGGTTTCAGCTTTCGAAATGGTTTTCGAACCATCCAGAATCCCTATCATTCAATGATGCCGATTCGACCAAAACATTGGGGATGAGGTGGAGTCCAAGAACAGATACGTTCCGGTATGACTTGGAAGATAGCTTCACAAACTTGAATCCGACTAAGCGCACCATTCTGTCAATTAGTGCTCGACTGTTTGATCCGCTTGGGCTACTTAGTCCAATCAGCATAACAGCGAAAATTTTCGTCCAGAAGCTGTGGCAGCTTCAGCTGGATTGGGATGAAGCCATCCCAATGTCACTGAATACAAGCTGGGAGAGGCTAAAGCTAAACTTGTGTGGTCTTGACAAAATAGCCGTGCCTCGGTACGTTATGGCTAGTGGGTGCTCGTCGATTCAAGTGCATGGCTTCGCGGACGCGTCTAGTCAAGCGTATGGGTGCTGCATTTATGTGCGAGCGCTTTTCGAAGGTCAAACGTACGTTCGATTGATCGCTGGGAAAGCAAGAGTAGCTCCCCTAAAAACAAAGACCATCCCGAGGCTCGAATTGTGCGCCGCAGCGTTATTGGCGCAATTTTGGGCCTACGTAAAGCAAGTTTTGGAAAAGTGTCGAGTCGAGAGCGTATTTTTCTGGACGGATTCAGAAATAACGCTACATTGGATTAAAACCCAACCGTCGTCACTTGCAGTATTTGTCTCAAATAGAGTAGCCATGATTCAGGAGCTATGTCAGGGCATTACGTGGCGTCATGTCCCATCGCTGTCGAATCCAGCGGATGCGAAGTGCCTGAGCTCCTGGAGTCCCGCATTTTAACATCCCAGATGATGTGAAGAACTCCGAGGCGAAACGGCCCGCCCAGGTTCTAATTGGCGTTGCGAACTCGTTTTCAAATGAAATATTTTCTCGTTTTTCGTCGTACCCCAAATTACTTCGAGTTTTTGCGTATGTATACCGATTTGCTAATATCGGCAAGAACAATGAACGTTACAGGGAGCTAACTGCAAAGGAGTTGCAGCAATCGTCTCTAAAATTGATGGAGCTGGTTCAGCGAAGCGTCTTCTCTGAAGAGTTTAAGAAGCTGAAGAAAGGGCATACGCTGCAACCGAGCCTGCAGATGATGGCCCCTTTTATCCAAAAAAGATCTGGGGAGGGGCGATCGTTTACACTTATCAGGGTAGGAGGAAGGTTGTTGCATGCTCATGTGCCAATAGAGGCTAAGTTTCCGGTTCTACTTCCCGCCAAGAGTCAATTCGTCGAACTCATTTAAGGCACCTGCATTTTAAAAATTTTCACGCCAATGCAAAGACATTAGTAAGTTTGCTGAGACAAGAGGTTTGGCTAGTAAATGCACGTCGAGAATGCACTCGAATAGTGAGGAGATGCATCCACTGTTTACAGTGGTTGATGGGTCAGATTATGGGGAATCTTCCAGCAGACAGGTTTAGGGAAGGTCGTCCGTTCCTGATTTGCGGGGTAGACTTTTGTGGTCCCATCAACGTCTCGCTTCGGATTCGAGGTCGTCAGCCGCTCAAAATGTACATCGCGGTATTTGTGTGTTTCGCTTCGAAGGCCGTCCATTTAGAGCTTGTCCCAGACCTGTCGACTAATTGTTTTCTTTTATCTCTAAAAAGCTTCATCGCAAGACGTAGCGTTCCGCTGAGGATGTATTCCGACAACGGGACAAATTTCGTCGGAGCCCGGAACGAGCTGCAGAGGCTTCAGGAAGCGTTCGAGGAGCAGCAGTCCAGCCTGAGGACGTTCGCGGCGGAGCAAGGGATGGAGTGGAAGTTCATCCCCCCGCGAGCAACGCACTTCGGCGGTTTATCGGCAAAGTTCCTGATCGTGCGGCAGGTCGCGGACGCCGTGCTCACCGAGAGCGAGGTGAGGACCGTGTTGGCCGAGGCCGAGGCCATCATGAACTCCAGGCCGCTCACTCCAGCCAGTACGGATCCAAACAACGGAGAGGTGCTTACGCCAGGCCACTTTTTGATCGGCCAGCCCCTTCGTTCGCTGCCGCAAGGGTGCGAGCCAGACGGACGGAGCAGCGGTACCACCTTTACCAAGAGGTGGCAACTACTCTCCGAGCTCAAACGACGGTTCTGGCAGGCTTGGTCGAAGGACTACGTCCACAACCTGCAGGGACGCAGCAAATGGCAAACCCCAGAGGCCAACATCGAGGTCGGCGCCATGGTGGTGGTCCACAAGGACCATACGCCGCCGCAGCAGTGGATCACCGATAGGGTCACCAGCGTCGTCGTGGGAGCAGACGGCAAGGTCATGGTGGCAGAGGTGCGAACAGGAGGGGGCGTGATTAGACGCCCAATCCATAGGCTGGCACTTTTGCCGATATGTTGAAGCCCGACGTGCGGTCGTTCAAGGCGGCCGGAATGTCGTTACACCATAGAATAATAGTAAATAAGTAGAAAGCAATGAAGTTATGTATGGAATGTAATGTAGTTCGTAAGGTTACGGCATGAAGTCCCGCCACTGTAAATCCAAGCAACATGCGAACTTCGTTTCGCACGGTTTATACTGCGATCGCCTTTTATCGCCGCCCACAGCTCTGGTCTGTACTGCTAATTCCAGCGTCTCAAGCCTAAGTAAAGGCATCAAACAAACAACAAAAATAGTTTCGAATTTTCTACATTGTCGCTGAGACACCTCAGCACGTTGAGCAGCACTCGACACTGTGAAATATACCCTTTGACCGTTCTCCAGATGCACCACAACAGTGGGATGACGTTCGTGAATAGGGAAAGAGAATACACGACAAATTGCCTCATTGCAGTTAACAAATCTACCAATTTGATAGCGCGTAATTTCATTGTCGGTATTGGATCTTTGATGCCGAAAACGGTCATATCGTTGTCTTTCGTGACATACATATTTACAAATGTATTTAATGGACTTTACCGAATTGCAATACTCAACGTTACAATGTGCCTTGAATGTTTTTGAGAGAAGTGGCGAATATGGAACGATCCAACTATTGCCACATGGTCCATGAATCATATTCGTAATGACTTCATGTAGGTCTGGATCTGTTTCGGGATCTGGAATCTCTGCACATATGATATCATCTATATCATCTGGTCGAATTCTATCGACTAACCAAATAAGAATGGAAAAATGGGAATACAGCATCTGGTAAGCCTCTTTTTATACCCGTACTCAAAAAAGAGTTAAGGGGTATATTAGATTTGTGGTAAAAGTGGATGTGTGTAACGCAGAGAAGGAAACGTTTCCGACCCCATAAAGTATATATATTCTTGATCAGCATCAATAGCCGAGTCGATATAGCCATGTCTGTCTGTCCGTCTTGTTTGTCGGCTGGATCTCAGAGACTATAAGAGCTAGGGCAACCAAATTTGGTTTCCAGACTCATGTGATATCACACTGCTACAAGTGTATTTCAAAATTTCGCTCCGCCCACTTCCGCCCCACAAAGGACTTTCGTCCATTTCGGCACATTTTTAAAGATAAAAGATAAATTTATCGTAGAGAAAGACCATATCTACCAGACTGCCGAATCTGAATCAGATCGGATCATAATTATAGCCAGAATGAAGAAGACAGAGACCCGCTACCTATCTCTTTCTCGCTCGCACACTCTGCCGCGTTCAGTGCGCGAACAACCCCTAGCGGAGGAGATGTAGAATATGAATGGTACATCTATAATCTACATGTTAAATGTAAAATTTACATTGCAGATGTATATGTAGATACCAGATGGAGCAAAAAAATTTAATATGTAAAAATTTTTGTTAATTCAAAAAAATCATAAGTTCAAAAATGTATATACTGACTGAGTACGAGTATAAGTAGAGTTGCGTCCCCAGAAGCGACTCACACTTTCTTGTTTGCCATTCGATTCAATACATACATCATTTGGTAATCCCAAAGACGTATTACTTAACAATGAAATTCATCAGCGACCGGATTTTTTGCCTGAAAACAAGTGCGGTGATGCCGATGTGCCGATCACTTAATGTTTGTCCGGGAAGCAGTAATTAAACAATTTCTATCTATTTCAGATTACATGTAAATGTAATGAATATGTCTGGCCGACCATAATGTGGAACATATGTCATTGGATCTTGCGCATGTTCATGCATGTGACCATGCAAGGTAGCCACTTTTATATGTCGCCGGTAGCAAACTCACTCGACCAATATTAGTTGCATCTCTTCGGTGCTAATTGCATCAATTAAATCGATATACTCTTCCGAACGCAATTTAGCTTGCTTCAACCACTTACCCGGCTCAACCCGGAGAGAGCCGAATGCCATGTCGAAGATATCAGCTCCCGACCCGAAGTCCTGGGAGCCAATCGTCCAAAAATTGTATGCAGGCAGTTTTTGGTCGATTCGACGGCTCTATGTGTTGTTTGCTTAGTGGATCAACCTAATGAAAGTTAGGCGCGCTGTTTCGATTTTTACGTATATCTCGACGCAATATTGTTGGAACAATCGACGAAATCACAACAAATAGTTGTCAGCATTTAGACGCATCATCAACCGATATGCGTAATAATTCATCGAACTGACCTTCTTTTTAGTTTCCTCACCTAAAAATTAACACAATAAAACTAGTGTTTTCGAAGTAAAAGTCACGTTCATATTCCTTGAAGAGGTTGACAGAATTTGACCACTAAATCCCCGAAGTCACTATTGTAACTCTATTTTACTGATACTTTCCATTTTATGGATTAATAATCTTGATTTTAAAGTGATTGTAATCGTCTCCTTTCCAAAACATCAGCGGGTATTGGAACGTGTCATATGAATGGTATGTTTAAAATATTTTTTGTAGTTGCCCAGTATTGCGTCGGGTTAGCACAATATGGTGTGTTTAAAAGTTTGCAACTTTATCCATTGTTGGAGCGTTAAGTGTGAGTTCATGTGTTCCAGCTGTTTTTTATCCGCTCTGATCACGACTTTGTAGGCATCGTTTGGCATGCGCACTAACGCAGTCTTGAACACACTGAATAATGCATGATTTTCATGAAGCAGTTGCTGTAGATATTTAAGAATCCTCTTTCCATTACTGTGTGGATCTCTGGACTCCGATCAAGTTGCTCCTCAATATTTCCAATGAAGTATACTTGTAAGAATTTATGTTGTGCATCTTCAAGAGGTTGTAATGATCCAATTCAATGGTGAATCTGGCCTTGAATCTGTTAGTCGAGAGCAAAGTATATATCATAATAGACATTGAACAGATTTGAACATAAATTACCTTGAATGCAGACAACGAAACGAACGCTACTCCCAGGTGAAGATATCCACACCAACGAATTCGAAGACTCAGCACAGGCCGAATGTCAGAAACACGTCGACCGAAGAAAGAAAGAAAACCGAGAACGCAGCACACTCGCGGACATTATGCAAGATCATATAACCAACTCCCACGGCAGAAAAACCGAAACGCGGTCAGTCAGTCGCTCATCAAGAACTACAATACACGTCGCGGTCAGTCAGTCGCTCACGAAGAATTACAATACACATCGCGGTCTGAAGATTAATACGACAATAAAGATACACATTTAAAACGAAAGAACCCTGAAAATTAAAAATTTCTTGTAATTAAGGACCCTGGACGGGCTGATGCATATTCCAGTCTGAAATACAGTGGCTCCATCGCATAATCGGACACTTGCTTACCCAGTACGAATGTGCTCAAAAAGTATAAAGAAATGCGATAAAATTTTTGTTTTTTCACTTTTATTATAACTTTGTAATATTGACTACCTAAATCATAAGCAAAAAGTCATACATTCTAGTGAGAACAGTTAGTTTAAAGCGAAAAGCGAAAAAAAGTCATTTTTGGAGACTCAACGAATAATCGGACGCCTCCAAAAAGTTTTGGAAAAAATTAACTAATAGTGTAATTAATATTTTGTTGCGTATCCTTTCGTTTCCAGAACAGCCTGCAAGCGATTTGGAATGGATTGCACCAAATTCAGGCATACTTGGGGCTCTATAGAGTTCCATGCTTCTACTAAAGCCTCTTTAAGCTGATTTAGCGTGTTAAATTTTTTTTGATACACCCGCCTGGCTAGTTCTTCCCAAAGATGTTCAATAACATTTAGATCTGGGTTCTGTGCAGGCGTTTGCATAAGTTTTGGGCAGTTATGTATTAACCCAAGCTTTGCAACGCCTGATGTGTGCTTCGGGTCGTTGTCTTGGTAGAACGCAAAGTTTGTCGCGATACCCAATTTCTCTGAAATTTGCTTCACATTCTGCTTCAAAATATCCAAATAACCAAATTTGTTCATAATGCCATCTATAAAATGCAGGCTTCCTACTCCAGCACTGGACATACAGCCCCAAACCATCACAGAACCTCCGCCATGCTTCACAGTGGCCTTTGTGTTTTTTGGATCAAATTCGGCATTTGGTTTTCGCCACACAAACATCTTTCCATCGGACCCATGCAAGTTGAATTTACTTTCATCCGTAAATAGAACCTTTAAATAATGAATGGCTTCAATAAAATAAAACCTACAGTTGATTTACTATCAAATTACCGTGTTCCAAAAGTCTGGGCTTTTAAGCAAGTACTCTCTAGCATATTTTACTCTATTGAGTTTATTCTTGGAGCTTATAAATGGCTTCTTCCTGGCAACTCTCCCATGGTAGTCATATTTATGAAGAGTACTACGTATAGTATTAAGACATACGTCTTTTCCCGATCGTTTTTTTAACGATATCTGCAGTTTTGCGGTAAGGAAAGGATCTTGCTTAACGTCTTTCAATATGGAACGCTCTTCTCGTTCGTTTAATATCTTTCCTTAACCTTCTCGACTTTTATTGGTCAGCCTAAATTCATCCCGGAACCTCTTAATTATGTCATGGACAGTCGATTTACTTTTTCCGACCAATTCCGCGATTTCGCGAACAGATTTGCCGTCCAAGTTAAACTTTACTAACAGCTGTCTCAGTTCGACAGTAGTTTGCTTGCCTTGCGGGGCCATTTTAAACACTTTTAACATTTATAATATGTCAACTAGACATTAAGACAACCAGCCAGCATATGCGATAAGAAAAACAAGAGCTTTTAAGAGATATCTGGAATAGAAACGGGGTTTTCCATTGCTACTTCTGCCTTGTCCGATTATTCGTTGAGTCTCCAAAAATGACTTTTTTTCGCTTTTCGCTTTAAACTAACTGTTCTCACTAGAATGTATGACTTTTTGCTTATGATTTAGGTAGTCAATATTACAAAGTTATAATAAAAGTGAAAAAACAAAAATTTTATCGCATTTCTTTATACTTTTTGAGCACATTCGTACTGGGTAAGCAAGTGTCCGATTATGCGATGGAGCCACTGTAGGAAACATTAGAAGTTTTGGACTAAATCCGTTTTCTATCGGGAATTCCGCTCCAAATGAAGTCATTTGAAGTATAAGAAAATGTCGTGATTCTGGTCTTTCGCTCAAAGCAAGGAATGCAATGGCTCTGGTGGCTGAACCATGTGGCAAATACAATTACACTTTGCCATTAAGGCAGCACAATCCAGGCGTTTCTCCAGCGAACTTCAATACCCCAAAATGCACGCAAACTACTTCCATTGTACCAATGCAAAGAAAAGGATACGAGCTGTAGTCAATTATGCAATCGTATAGAAACGCTGCTCGATTCAAATCAACACTTGAAGTATTTCTTCTTGCAGTTCGATCTGTACGATTAGCTCTAGCCGTTCTTTTTCTTTCTTTCTAATCTAGCCGTTTCATGGACTGCCTCCTCTTTGCTCTTGTGTTTGAGAAGCACGAAGAACGGCCAGATATCGTGCCGCAGCAACGCAGCGCAATTGTCGTTCTTCGTCAGTTAATTGATTCGAACTGTTCCGTATCCTAATTTTATTACGGCTCCGTTTGGAAATATTTGATCTTCTTCGTCGTGGCATCTATATTAATCTGTATACACAGATGATAATACTCACACAAATCACAAATTTATCTAACATTTGTAATATGCACATATTGATAATAGCGTCTGTAACACTTTGTTGCAGAGTTTACGTAAACATAAGTTCCAGGCATATCTTAAGTGCGATGATAATACGATCACACAAATGTGACTCGCGCGACAACGTCGGCATGTTTATCA